CTTCCTACACAAGTTAATAGCCCCAGACCAGACTGGCTTTGTCCCTGGCAGCAATATAACAGACCCCATCAGGAAACTACTGAACCTGATCGAACACAGCAAGGCAACCAAACTCCCATTGACAATTATGTCCCTAGACATCCTCAAAGCCTTTGATTGCTTGGAGTGGAAATATATATTAGCAGTACTAACTAACATGAAATTTGGCCCCAACTTCCTACAAATCCTCAAACAAATAAACTCCCAAGCCTCAGCAAAATGCAGAACTAACAATATGGATTCTAACACTATAGCTATCCAAAGAGGCACGAAACAAGGATGCCCACTGTCTCCCTTCTTATTTATCCTGGCTCTGGAACCCCTACCAATCCGCATCCGAGCAGCCACAGACATCAAGGGAGTGGAAATAAAAGGCAGAACCTATAAATTAGGGCTCTTTGCAGATGACCTAATGGTCACAACACCAGACCCCATAAGCACAGCAACCTCCCTAATCAGAGAACTCAACACATTTGCAATGGTGTCGGGCCTACAGGTAAATTTTACAAAGTCAGAAGCTATGTGCTTCAACACCCCTCCTCACACCCAAAAAGAACTCATGAAGGTCACCAAAATAAAACTTTGCCACACCAAGTTCAGATACCTAGGGGTACAAATAACCAGAAACCTCAATAAATTGTACCTCCACAACTACAAGCCCCTGTGGCGACAAATTAACAAAGACCTAAAGAGATGGGATAACATGAACTTCACTCTCTCAGACAAAATAGCCATGATCAAAATGATCACACTCCCAAAACTAACCTACCTATTCCAAACCCTCCCAATCTGGATCCCCTCAACCCAACTTCGCAGTTGGCAGAGAAAACTACACTCTTCCATCTTCTCACATAAAAAACCAAGAATAAGCCCCAAATACCTGCACCTCCCCACCTCAGAAGGAGGATGGGGAATCCCCAACACAGAAGCATATTACAATGCCAACCAAATACGCCACATAATCCCATATATACTAGAAGATGAGACAAAACAATGGGTACACCTAGAGAGGGACACAATTGAAAACACCTGCACCACAACATACCCACTCCTCCCAAACAAACTAAAGAAAATTCCCACAACACTTAACAGGTACACACAGACCATGCTCAAAGCATGGAAAACACAAATAGGCAAACTATCCCCAACCCCATCCCCACTAATCCCCCTGGCGTACCACCCATTATTCCACCATGCAGCACAAAACCTCAAGATAAAAACCTGGCGAACCAAAGGCTTATATCGCCTAATAGACTTTTATAAAAATAACAAACCCTTGTCAACACAAGAAATACAAGACAAACTAGAAGACACCCAAATGCCCTGGTTAACACAACACCAACTACATGCCCTCTTAAACAACCCAACAGTAAAATCAGCAGCAACTAGGCCCCTGACAACCTTCGAAAACCTCCTCCTAACAACAAAGGGAAACGGTAAAGGGACGGTATCCGCAATATACAAAATACTACTCCAAAATCCCGCAAATCCCCTAGACGCAATCAAAAAACAATGGGAGAATGACATAGGCTATGAGATTAACCCCACTCAATGGACCAGAATGTGGTCTAAACCCCCCTTTAAATCCATATCAACGAAAAGAAAAGAACTCACACTGAAACTCACCTACAGGTGGTACCTAACACCAAGGAAACTAGCGCTAATACACCCAGGAACCTCACCAAAATGCTGGAGAGGGTGCACCTCCACAGGCACATACCTGCACATGTGGTGGGAGTGTCCCAAAATCCAACTATTCTGGACAACAGCCATACAAGAAATATGTAAAATAACTAAGCAAGTAATAGACATCACCCCAGAATTGGCCCTACTAAACATCTTCCAAGACAACAATGCCCATTTACACCACAAAGAACTCATAACCCACCTGCTCTCAGCAGCCCGAAACACCATAACCAGACCCTGGAGAGACCTGTCAGGAGTAAGCAGGGACCAATGGTACCAAATAGTAGGGGAAACAGCCCTACTAGAAAAATTAACTAATAAACTGAAACTGACACGGGGACAAACAGAAGAAGACACCTTCACCCCGGTATGGCTCCCCTTTATCACATACACAGCCCAACAGGACAATGACAATAATGCACCAACAGCATACAAATCAATATGGCTAACCTGATCCAAAACACCCACCCACCTCACTCACACACGAAAACAAAGATCACCACAGCCAATCACAAGCAAACAATCACACCGTAGGCCAACCCCAACCTCTCTCACCACCAAAGGAACACAAGTGAACAACACAAGCAACGCTGACACCAAACCCTACATACATTAAACATAATAGAAACACCGCCACCCGACCCCACCCCCATCCATCTTCCCTCTCTCCACCCCCCTTTCTTTTTTCTTTCTTTTTTCTTCTCCCCCTAATGCCTCAACAAATGAAACGGATTTGTAAAAATGTTACATGGAAAAAAATATATATACAAGGCACTACACTTCTGTAAAACAAGAAAATCCTTAATAAAATATTTTTTTTTAAAAAAAAAACATTTTGCAGCTCAGCCAATGAAGTAATGAACAACTGACAGCAAAGGCTAGACAACTTCAAGGGTTTTGCTCTACCTCATCTTAAGCTGGCACACATGTGACACTGCTAAATGATTATGCCACATGACTGAAAGGCCCTGGAACATATCCAGTGCAGCTGAGATTAAATAAGAGAGTCACAGTGGCCCAACGGACAGAGAAGGGGTTCTGCATGCAGACAATCTGCTTTCAAGACTTTTGATGGGGTCAGCCAAAGATTTTGCATCTATAAAACCTTTGCTCTTGCAGCTCCCAGCAACTGGTACTCAGAGCTATATGAGCTCTGCCTATGGAGGGAGGCAGAACGGAGCCATTGTGGCTGACAGCCATCGATAACCTTAGCCTTCATGGATTTGTCCAATCCTCTTAAAGGCTGGTGGCCATCGTGGCATCAAATCCCATATTCCAGATATGTGTTGTGAAGTAATAGCTGAACCTTCCAATGTTCAGCTTCCTTCGATGCATGTGAGTTTTCCCATACTGTGCATATTCTTACATGTCTTTATCAGCCCTCAGTCCTTTACTTGCCTTTTTCCTCCGTAACGAAAAAGCCCCAAATAGTGTAAGCTCAGCTCCTGAGAGCTCCAGCCCCTTGATTGTTTTGGCTGCCCTTTTCTGAACCTTGTCCAGCTTTGCAATAGCCTGCTTGATCTTTAAGCAATAATGGCTTATTTTTAGGTGGGTGACCCTCGCCCTCAGCTATCAACATGGCTCGACAGTCCAGCACGCGCCAGCAAGACGCGTATGCAGGATTAATTCTTTAAAAAAAGAAAGAAAAAGACCTCACTTCGCATCAGCCACAAATGTGTGCCAGTCACTCACGCAGCCCTTTGTGCATCCATCAGCTTTTATTAATGCTCCTGTCTGTTGTTGACAGTTGTCCAAGATTCTTTGCTTGAAGCTATAATGATTTACAATCAGCCGCACACAAACATGGAAAAGTTCCAGACTTTAACATCCACAGGATGCCTGCACAACTACAACCCCCACTTGTGTATTATATGAATCAATCACCGGGGCAGAGTGTAACAGTATCCCTTCGCACAGCCAAGCTATAATCTAGGCTAAGCCCTCTTTAAATAGATTCCCTTACTGTATACAGTGGTACCTCGGGTTACAAACACTTCAGGTTACAAACTCCGCTAACCCAGAAGTAGTACCTTGGGTTACAAACTTTGCCCCAAGATGAGAACGGAAATCATGTGCTGAGGGCACGGCGGCAGCGGGAGGCCCCATTAGCAAAAGCGCGCCTCAGGTTAAGAACAGTTTCGGGTTAAGAATTAAGTTCGTAACCAGAGGTACCACTGTATAGCAATGGCTACAACTCTCCTCCCCATTCATACACACACACACACACACCCAAAAACACCCCAATCATAGGTGCCTTGCTGCATACAACACTCAATTTCTTTACAAGGAAAAAATTGTACTTTACTGCCCCAAGAGAAAATCAATGATTGTGATATGCCACGCTGACCATGTTCATGCCTCAAGATGGGCTGCTTTTCCTTTGGCAATCGCTCATACCCGAGTAAGATTGTCTTCCATGAACACAGTCTTAACAGTGAGTCCATAAGTGACTGTGGAGGCCAATTCTGGATCCACATGTCCTTCCACAGTGGGGACATTGGTGTCTGGGCAGGAGTTGATCATGGTGTGGATTTGCCAAGCGTGCCTTCCTATTAGCACATTTCACCCTTTCGTTCTGAGTTCGAGCGTCAGACTGTTTGCCAATTGGAGCTCTCACAGGCCAGTGTTTCCCAGCTGTCAGTGTTTACACCGCATGTTTTCTGATTTGCCTTGAGAGAGTCTTTAAACCTCTTTTGTTGACCACCAGCATTACGCTTTCCATTTTTAAATTCAGAATAGAGTAGTTGCTTTGGAAGACGATAATCAGGCATCTGAACAACATGACCAGTTCAACGAAGTTGATGTTGAAGAATCATTGCTTCGACACTCATGATCTTTGCTTCTTCCAGTACACTGGCATTAGTTTGCCTGTCTTCCCAAGTGACGTGTAAACATTTTTGGAGACACCATTGATGGAATCTTTCAAGGAGTTGGAAATGGCGTTTATAAGTGGTCCATGTTTCACAAGCATACAGTAAGGTAGGGATGGGCACCTGTACCGGGGCGTGTGGTTTTACAATATGCCCTAAGAGTGTGTACTACCAGAAGCGGCATCGGGCAATCCTAAAGAGGACGTAGCAAATCCAGGTAGTGGTACTTCCCAAACTTGGGGCTCCAGCTGCTGATGGGACTACTACTCCCACCATTCCTAGCTAGCAGGACCAGTGGTCCAGGACCTTCTGCACACAGAACAGGTGCATACCAGTGAGATATGGTCCTTCCCCAATGAGTTATGGTTCAACCTAGAGGACGGCACAGTGGCTTTGCATACTCACCAGGGTGACAATGGCACATTCAGCAGTCAGCTGAGCGGCGCTGAACAGCGTCCGCACAAAGCGGTAAATCTGCTTCTGCTCTGGGTCATGTTTGTCATAATCTGGCGGCACTTCGGATTTCTGCAGGAACAGCATTATTTAAAAGGTGAGCAAACTACAGTCCATGGCTTTGAAGCAACTAACAGGGGTGGGTAGAATGCACCTCAAGAAGAAACAAATGAAAGAATGAGGCAGATGATATTTACCGTAAGGGGGTGGAGGTTTTCATCAAAAATATCTAGGAGCATCCTTCCATCTGTGTCCCTGAAAGAGAGAACAGGAAAAAAAGAAAAATACAAAATTGTTACGCCATGGAGGGCGAAAGAGGAGGAAGTGGGAAACTATTATTATGGCAAAATGAAGGAACTCTATACACTGGGAATCACTTCTCTCTGCTCTAGTAATGTATATGAAAGAGCCACATGGTTGTGGACAATAATAAAGTTTCATCTCATGCAAATATTGCCCTATCACGTTAAATTAATCAATTGCTTAATTTCCAGAATAGCCCATGTGTTGCCCTCCAGATGTTATTGGATTACAACTTCCATCTGCCCCAAGCAGCAGGGCCAATGGTCAAAGATGATGGGAACTGGAGTTCAACAACAACGGGAGGGCACCAAGTTGGGGAAGGCTGCTCTACAGAAACAACTACAAGCATTACAGAAACTTGTGCTTATAGTTTTGGTTGTGGAAGCACAAATTTAAATGCTGTTGACAGAGGGTTGTTTTACTATTCCCAACTGGTGTCCCATGGGCCACAGGAGGGGGTCTGTGCAACCCACCCAGGGGGTCTGTGGCACCATTCACATAACAAAAACTACCATAAAGTTATCAATTTTTTCAAAAGCAGGAGGTCGATGGTTTAGCTTTTGAAAACACGGGGTCCGCCATACTTAGCTAACTGGGAGCCACTGCTTTGGACAATTAAAAAAAACCACACCTCAAACATAATGTGAAAGTCTTTCCCATTTATTTTATGTTTTAAGTTCTTGTGAAACTTCACACAATGCCTAATAGATGTGTAGAATTCACTGTCATTACATGCAAGGGTGACCAGTACTTTAGATGGATTTTAAAAGAATCAAGCAAATTCACAGAGGATCAGGCTACAAATCATGATGGCTAATGGCTATATTTACTGTGATGTACTCTGTATGAGCTTTAATTGGATTTGTTTACAGACATCTCACAGACCACCTGAACGAAGCTGATGGTCCACCAGTGGCCCATGGACTACAGTTTGGGAAATCCTATTCTACAGGTTGTGGAGGGAGAATCTGTGCTGAAATGCAGAGAAGAAGTGGAATTGCTCCAGTCTTAAGTCACTGATTGTTCCACAATAAAACTGTTGCAAAAGGCCTCTCTTAGTGGATGGGATTTGTTAGGTTGGTTTTTACATATATCCATGTTTTCAGCTTTTATTTTGATTTAGCTTTACGTTAGTTTTAATTTTTGTATTATATTGTTTTTTT